ATATATTAATTAATTACTAGAACACTTTAAATTGGATGTCCTAATAGATCTAAAATGTAACAGTGAAAAATACGAATGGATTGAATTTAATCAATGTTAAGACTGTATCATGGAATTGGCCCATTTTTTCCAAGAGAGACGCCCAACTGTACTTATAGGTCGCCTTTCAAAGTGTAGCCTTAACCCTTTAGCGTCCAGCTGTACTTATATGTCGCCTTTCAAAATGTTGCCTTAACCCTTTAGCGTCCAGCTGTACTTATATGTCGTAGTGAGGCGACCAATCAGAGCGCTGCAATACATTCAGGCGACGGTGATTGGTGGATGTGGTAGTGAGGCGACCAATCAGAGCGCTTCAATACAAGGGCCGCTGCATATCGAGCCGAAATAATTAGGTTTATTTTCCAAATTTTGTAAACTATTCGCATTTATCGGCACGGCCTGTGTATTATTGTCCTATTTTGTCTGAAAATTATTTGAAGTGTCAACTTAGAAGCTAATGACTCGACAGGCTAGATGCAAGTAGATATTAGTAGGTGTAACAGGTATGCAAGTAGGTATAGTAGGTATGCAAGTAGGTATAGGGTCAATAGGCTAGATGCAAGTAGGTAGAGTAGGTATATTCAAGTAGCTATAGTAGATATGCAAGTAGATGTAGTATATATGAAAGTAGGTAAAACTCTACTTGCTACACCAGCTGTTCGTAATGTTCAGATTGTTATAAATTACAGTGAATAAGAAGGCAAGATGGACAATGTTAGGCATGATAATCGGAACAGGAATGATTAAATTCATGTAGAACCGGCATTAAAGATTAATATTGCGATCATATAGACTATATAGGATACAATACTTACAGCTGTGGTTAGTCCGTTGATGCAAAAACCAAAATTTTAATGAAATTACACGGTCGAGTGTGGAAAAATCAACCTGTACCATGCAGAGTTCATCGCTTTGAGGTGAAGTGGTGAACCTGAAAGTTTATCACAGAAGTAATAAGATTCCAAATTTTTTTATACAATCAATACATATATTACTCATATGATCATTAATAAATTGAATTATTGATGTTTCACCTTTACAAAAACCTTTTAAAAGCGAGTTCTTAGTAAAGTTTCAATCGAAAATTTTCTACAATCAATTCATATATTACTCCTATCTTTATCAATAAATTGAACTATTATGTTTTCACCTCCACTTCTATCTTCATTATTACGTTGAATTATGAAGGTTTTACCTCTAAACAAAATTTTAAAAGCGAGTTCTTTGTTAAAGTTTAAATTCACGGTATTGATATAATAAAATTTCTCACAAATGCTGGGTTCAAACTGAAACACTTACTAATTATGGACACGAATGGTTTTGTTGCTGTCAGACACGCCATCTGACAACTCATTTCGTCTGAAATTCAGATATATATTTTCACCGGAAAATTCTACCGATACCGAATAATGATAGAGAATTTCACGGTAATTTTTCGAAAAAAGAAATTAGCTTATAATTTAAAAGTATAAAGCAGTACATTACAAAACGGGGCAGGATCTTTAGTTTTAATTTGTTCGATCCGACGAAAAAGTCGCACGTCTTATTCGTGTCTTTGTAGTGAGTGTAATTCATGTAGTGGGATTACCAGTGCACTATATACTATATTTAAATACTAAAATTCGAATACTATATTTAAAAAAAAATATTTAGAGAATAGAATGCTTAAATTTGAATGCTATATTTGAATTTGAATTAGAATATTATATTTATATTCGAATAATATATTCCAATTTGAACAGCCGCCGTCGGTGGTCATAAGTTACGCGGCGGTCTTCAGCTCAGCTATTGTAACAAGAAGCACTTGCGTAATAAATGATTTTGAACGTAAGTACTTTTATATTCATAAATTCTGCGGCTATCGTATTTTTAACAACGATCGTAAGGCCTATAACGATCATCAGTTACACTATGATTGTAAATTCAATATTGCTGTTTTACTTAAGATGGTCGTAAGCTTACAGCTAAGGTATTCTTAAATAAAATAAATATTCAACCTGAAATATATTTTATAAAAAAATTAGTTGGAAGTTAAATTTATTTTCTATCGTAGCATTGATTTTAATTCATGTAGAACTTCTTCATTGCCTGATTAATGTTTAAAAATTATAATACCTGTTTATAATGTCGACTGATTTGTATTGACATTAGTGTTGATTTTTATTCCCGATCTAAGCTTTTTTAACGGAATTGACTAGAATTTATAAATTATTCAAAATGTGTGAGTGTGTTGTTAGTTGCCCAGAGAAGGAAGGAGCGTGTAGCGTCTAGATGTAATTAATAATTGTGTAATAATATTTCAGATTAGAATCAAATGTAAAATTAGATTTATTGCTAAAACGTGAACGTCACAACTTTGAAATCAGCATTTAGTTTAGTTCGTTCCGACCTTCTGTGTTTATGTACATTGATTAACAACCTCTCATTAGAGTAAGTACTGCATGCATTATACTTTCATATAATTTCCTTATTTATAACCTGATTCTTATTAATTTGACCAGTTAAATTGTTTATTTCGTGTATATGTATAACTTGTAACAGTACTTTATCCAAACAGGGTTTAAATAAATGTAATCAAAAACGTAAAACTTGAAAGAGAAGTGTCTTCTTATACCTCCATCCTATAGCTAGCATCGGCCACTGGCCTGCGTAGGCGCTGGATTCACTCCAAAGATGTCGGAGAAGATGGGATTTACGAGAGGAATGCCACAGTCGGACCAGGGACCGGAGTATCAAATCTTCGTAACTTTTTGTACTTACGACAAAAAAATTACGTGTTACGTAAGTGTACCCTAATTTTGGCATTATCAAAACATTCGTACCCAAGTCTTACAAAACTTCGTAACTTTTTGTACTTACGACAAAAAAATTACGTGTTACGTAAGTACACCCTAATTTTGGCATTATCAAAGCATTCGTACGCAAGTCTTAGCTAAAAGCGTATTATCAAACCCTCTGGCTAACTGACCAATCAGAGGCATTGGATTTGCTCTTCCTATAGCTCCAGTAAGCTCCTCTCGAGCAGTGCGCAGTGCGCTTGGACGAGAGCAGGATGTGTGGTGTCTGCGGCATTTGCGGTGCATGACTGGGGTGTATTTGGATAAATGAGCGAGACGTTATTGAAATAGCAATGCACTTGTTGTGATCATTAACCGAATTTCTTGCAATAAGGGCAAATAAATGCATTATTCCATTCAAAATTAGAAGAATTTTTTAGAAGGTTACAAAGAATTTAGAAAATTTCGTGAGTTGGAGTTGCGACTGTCATAAAAAGAAATAAATTAATTTACAGAGAACTTGGAAAAATGGTTGGCTTGTCAACCTCAATATAATTTGAATAAAAAATGCATCAAGAGGACCGGCTACCCCTAAATTTTCAATTACGGCGTTTTCCGGTTTTTGTGCTCATCTTAAAGCTTACTTTCTGACGCATCGAACGGTACCAGAATCATCTCTCTACGTCGAAAAATGATTTCGTGACAGCTCCCTGAAGGGGGGCGGTTTTGAGGGCCCTTCAGTAAAGTCTATGGGATTAATTCGATGGCTGGACGCACTAAAAAGGAACGTCTGACGTAAAGCGGCCAATTATGGCATTATCTGGTGCTTATACTCATCTTAAAGCTTACTTTCTGAAGCGTCGAACGGTACCAGAACCATCTTTCTACGTGCATTTTGACATACACAACGCCTCGTGGAACGGGGGGCGGTATTGGGCGGCCTTCACTAATTCCTATGGGCGTAATTGGAGGGCGGGACTATAAATACAGCCTGCTGCCGCCAAAGCAGTCAGTGCCCATCATGACAGCAAGGTGAGAGGTATGTAGCCAGTCGTTCTATGCCTTGCTGACTTGGTTTGAGGCTTAGTTAAGGTATCTAGGCTACGTTACGACTCTTTTACGTCATTTTACGTGCCGCGCGTAAGTTTTTTGGGCGTGGTTAAAACCTCCTATTGCTCTCACGGCAAACCTATCTCATCCTACAGTTTTCAAGCTACAGCAATGAGACATATACCATTCGATTCGTAAAGACCATACCTATAAACAAACTTATCATTTTTTTGAATTTGTGTATGGTTCGTCTTATATATGGGGAGAAGGAGGGGGAGGGGGGAAAATGAGAAAAAAATGGGAAAAGTGGGAAAAACGCGCATAAAAAAAGCTATGGGAAAATGAGAAAAATGATCAGATAGTCGATAGGTATTGTCTTTACGAATCGAATGATACGTGTCTCGATGTTGTAGGATGATATTAGTAGGAGGAGATAGATTTTCTAAAGTACCCTTTTTTAGCCGTTTTCTATGAATTTCACGTTTTCTATCAATTTTTTCGAAAAATTCATGTGAGCAAAATGTTATTGTTTTTACATTTTACGTATGCATGTGAAGTTTCATGATGATCGGATAATAACTGTAGAAGTTTTTCCGGAGGGTAGCCGGTCCCCTTAAGATATTGTTCAATTGAATGAGTTGAACTTTAGGATATGAATATCAACATTTGCTTGTAAATTATAGCACATAAGGCAATTGACATTTTTATCCCAAAAGCACCGTTTAGCACAATCACATTATATGTCGGATTATTGACAATTCTATCACAAGTCAAGATGTTGCTACTTGCTAGTAAATCAATAGTTTCCTATTGCTACAGCAGACACTTTAAACTTGTGCGGAACTCCACTTACGACATCTCCGAGCAGGCGTATAGTTACGTTACGTATTTTCCAGCGCTAATGTTTTTGATAATACCACCGCTAGAGTTACGTCATCATATCAGCACTTACGCCACTCGTAAGTCGATTTTGCGTACTTACTCTTTCCGGAAAGGGTATTTACGCTACTGTACCGCCTATTATCAACAAGGTTATGTACTTCTGTACCGCCTCTCTCCGGAAAGGGTGTTTACTCCATTGTACCGCCCATTTTCGACAAGGTTATGTACTCCCATATACCGCCTCTCTCCAGGATGGGTATTTACTCCACTGCACCTTCCCGTTTCGACAAGGTTATTTACTCCACTAAACACCCCGGCTTCGGCAAGGGTACGTAAAGACGAACGTTTATAAAAATTTGATGCATAACAGATATCATTAGAGGAAGTTTGGCAGTATTTCGTCTAATGATGGTATTTCTAGTTCCCAGTTTTTTGGATACGTAAAATATCTGTGTTGAGTATTTCAATCGCCGGATAAGGGTTGCAAAACTTGAGTTCAAAACGAAATCCATATATCAACGATCTTCGTTTTTCGGTGGTCTGTAAAACTGGAACTGAGACTGCCACACCTGAGGCAGACCTTAGCCTAACCTAGCCTGATCGCGAACACCCTGTAGAACATGACTCTGCACTCAGAACTTAATGACGAGTCTGGGACCACCATGTCTTCTCGTTTGTAGGTTCGTCCGCTCTGTTGAATGTTGCTGTCTCCTGAAAAACATTCTTACTAATTAATCACGCTTGCACAATGGCTAATTGGCATTTTTCTGAAGTATCTGTCCGGCTACAGCCGAACACCGAAATCATCACCGTTAACTAATTACGTCTACACAGCGACTGCCCTGGCGACATGCCCTGCCCAGTCCGGCTGCTGTCTTGAACCTTTCGAGTCGGTGAGCAACGTTGGGTGCATCTACGCCAACGCCAGCTTCTTGCCACCAAAGCCATATGCCACAGCCAGGGCCATGTGCCAGAGTCTCTGGCCCACAGCAGACTTGCTTGTCCCCTACGCCTTTGGGAATTTGGACGACTACTTGAGTGCTCGAGGTGAGCAAGGCCTGAACTAGTACTTCTTCCTAGACTAATTTGGACGACTGCTTGAGTAGTCTTGACGAGTCAGGCTTTAAGTAGTCATTCGTCCTTTCCTAATTTGGGCGACTAAGTACAGATCCTTTCTATTTCATGGCTCACAACTAAGTTCAGGTGAATTTTATTTAGTACCATATTTCAAGTTGACTTTATTATTCGTACAGTCCCACTAAGTTAACCTAACTTTTCTTTCGTCAATATAACGGAGTTAAGTTACCGTCTCTTTCGTACCGTATTACATCGTAACTCTTACACACCGAATAACTAATTTAAGGTAACTTTCCTTTGTCTCCACTCTCAACGTTATGTCATGAAGGAGTGGTAGGGCCCTGGCTGGGCGCCACAAAGAACACCGCAACATCGCAGTGGAAGTGGGTTGATGGCAGCTCCGTGTCTACCTCCAGCTGGGGGAGTAAAGTGCTGTTGGGTCTTCTTACATCGCAGCCTGATGGTCAAGGCGAACCTATCGATGGTTATCCCACGAACTGCGGCCACTTCCTGTCCGCAGTGGGCCTGCTTGGGGTTCAGAGAATGGGTGACGATGCCTGCGAGCATCTGCGCCCAGCGGTGTGTCAAATGAAGTAGATTGTTGACAACCACCGCGCTCGGGGGTGTGTCAAATCATGTAGATTGTTGACAACCACCGCACTAAGGGGTGCGTCAAATCAAGTAGATTGTTGACAACCACCGCGCTCGGGAGTGTTTCAAATGAAGTAGATTGTTGGCAACCCCCGCGCTCGGGGGCGTGTCAAATCAAGCAGACTGTTGACAACCACAGCGCTCGGGGGCGTGTCAAATCAAGTAGATCGTAGACACCCACATTCTGCAAGAGAGTGATATCTTTCACACGGAGTTTATCAATAATTATCTTTCACACTAAGTCTCAGTCTCTGCTCGTGTCATTGTCTACTTAGCCTAGCACTTTTTCTCTCGTGTGAGCCATACAAACTTAGTTCGACCCGGCAGAAGGGTGTAAAACGCAGTCATTCTCTTTTCGTGTAGTGAGTAAAAAAGTGTGGTCAACAACTATTTGGACAAGGTGACCCATCTAATTTTCTGAGTTCACTGCCGTGACTTTCGGAACAGACTCAATCTCGACTATTAAATTTTCCAAATCGGCTGAATTAATCAGTTCCCTCTATTGTACTAATACAATATTATTCGCTTGTTCGCTATATCCTTGTCGTGAAATTTCTGTTGAAGCTCTCACATGTACATCGTATTCCGTACTACATGTAGTTTATTCTAGTAAGTCTAGTTAGTATTCTCCAGTTAAATAAAATTTAGATCCGTCTCAGCTTCTGATACCTAGAATCAGAAGCTGCCACGCCTCTGAATTTGGTTAAGGTCGCTCTAGAACTAATGAATTATAGCTCGGCTATAATACATATATATTATGAATTGGCTCGGCTCTTGTACGTTCAAGACCTAGAACTACTCTCCTCCTTGTATTCTGTGATTGGTTTCTGTATGTGTAGGACATTCACAAATAAATATATTCCCTTCACATTGTCGTGTTACTGTTTAGCGATAATATAGGAAACGGTAATATAAAAATATATGTATATTTTAAGATAACAATGTTGTTCACATTCTCACAATACTTGGAATAACAATGACATTTATATATACATATATTACTTGAAAAAGCGATTGCATTCAAACATATAATATTCGAAAAACTGATCAATTTATAACTATGTTGTCTGTATTACAATAATATATATAGCTATAAATGTTAAGCTTGGTTAACTTTACGAAGTTTGTCCTTAATGAGGTAGGATGCAGGAAAAAATTGGTAGGTAATTCATATATTTCTTTTTGTCTGAAGTTTCATATATAACGCCTCAGTAAGTGTCATTTCTTTGAATTAAGTTATATCTCATACAGAAATAATATACGAGCCATACAGTTTCAAGCACTGTGTGTTCAAATAAAAAACTCGCTTTTTTGCCCTACAAACTTATTGGAGGTCCGGCGATTGGACATTTTTTGTCGCCGAAAACCGTCGATTTACCATAAAATTTTCATGGGTATCTGAAGTATTTCATTGATAACGTTACAACTTCATTGATAAATCTTTTGTTTTATCGGAAACTATGCAAGTTAATCGATAACTATAATATTTTATTAAAAAGTTTGCAGGTTAATCGAAATCTACTATATTAATTGGTTGAAATGTATACAGTTTTATACATAACTAAACTATTCATGGATTACCATGCCATTTTAGCGTTAGCAAAATATCGATACCGTAGCACTTAATAAATCAATTTAATACTACAGTGTTAAAAGATTGTTCAAATTTTCGAATCACGGCCATTAGAATCACCAGCAAAATTGACTGCACATCGGAATTAGTGCAATTTTTTTCTAAATAGATATTTATATAAGAAGACAGTAGATATATTAGGTCGTTGATGAAGATTCTATGCAAGTTCCCCTTAGCGGTGCATTTATACCCGAACAAAATTTTAGGTCTGTCCTGGCTCCTGAATGAGATAGAGTCGCCACGCTCGGCTTGGCGGTAGCTTGGCTTTCCGAATTGATGTATAAAAATGTAAGCTCGGGTAAATCCGTGAGTCATATTGTATAATTAAAGACACATTTATTGCGCGTAGCACTGATACGTCCTTATAAAAGGCCAAACTCGGTCAGAATGACCCACACAGCGCAAAGTGCGTCAGGATGACCCACACAGAGGCAAAGTGCGTCAGGATGACCCACACAAAGGCAAAGTGTGTCGGGATGACCCACACAGAGGCAAAGTGCGTCAGGATGACCCACACAGAGGCAAAGTGTGTCAGGATGACCCACACAGAGGCAAAGTGTGTTAGAATGACCCACACAAAGGCAAAGTGTGTCAGGATGACCCACACAGAGGCAAAGTGTGTCAGGATGACCCACGCAGAGGCAAAGTGTGTCAGGATGACCCACACAAAGGCAAAGTGTGTTAGAATGACCCACACAAAGGCAAAGTGCGTCAGGATGACCCACACAGAGGCAAAGTGTGTCAGGATGACCCAAACAGAGGCAAAGTCTGTCAGGATGTCCCACACAGAGGCAAAGTGTGTCAGGATGACCCACACAGAGGCAAAGTGCGTCACGATGACCCAAGCAGAGGGAAATGTTTGGGTCTCCCAACCAACTTCGTCCTGCCGCTCCCTAATCCTTTTCGTCTGAAATTAGTGAATGATACAAGACGCAATTCTTTTGGCCTGAAATAATCCTCTGATGCGAGTCTAAAAACGACATATATGTGGATAAAAAGTACATCACTATTGGACAAATTTTCACCATTTTCTCTGAGGGTACAAGCGGATGGTAAAATGATATTAAACCAAAGGAATCTGACGATTGAAAAATTGAGTTTAATCGATTAAAAAATATGTACGCGATCACCCGCGTACGCAATCATTCTTTCTAGGAACAATTATTCGACCGCTAATCAATAATTAATAAAGAAAATTACTTCCCAGTGTAATACCTAATACCTGCTATCTTCTTTGTATACTGGCATGACCTTTCGAGTCAAGCTTATAATATGCGGATAAATAATGCCTACGGTTGAATTAATTAATAAAAGGTTGAATTCCTAACTAAAATGCACCTAAATTACTAAAACCATTTAAATATTTTCTTCCAGCTGTCCTTGCTTTAACCCTTTAGCGTCCAGCTGAACTTATATGTCGCCTTTCAAAATGTCGCCTTAACCCTTTAGCGCCCAGCTGTACTTATATGTCGCCTTTCAAAGTGTCGTTTTTTATATATGAAACTCATTCGTTCGAATGGACATTTAAACATGTCCGCCTTTAATTTGGGGCTGAACTATATGAACTGGGGGACGTTTTTTTCATTTATCTTCCAATCATTTTCCCAATATTGCCCGAATATTTATAAGAAGAGAGTCTAAAAGAATATTTGAAGACAAAGAGATGGAAAAACAGGCAATTTCACAGCTGAGAAAATCTTGAAGCTTTTACAATAAAATTCTGGCAATGTGTAATTGAGTTTTTCGTCTTCAATAAAAAAAACTTCCATCATACCTCTACTTAATAACCATCATACCTCTGCTTAATAACCATCATACCTCTGCTTAATAACCATCATACCTATGCTTAATAACCATCATACCTCTGCTTAATAACCATCATACCTCTGCTTAATAACCATCATACCTCTGCTTAATAACCATCATACCTATGCTTAATAACCATCATACCTATGCTTAATAACCATCATACCTCTGCCTAATAACCATCATACCTCTGTCTAATAACCATCATACCTCTGCCTAATAACCATCATACCTCTGCCTATTAACCATTATTATGACCTACAATCACCATGATGGTCTACGCTTAATAACCATTCCTGCTACCATTGATTTGGTACAAAAAACATATATATAACCTCTTCTTGACTGTTAAACTTAACCATTATATTTCTCTTTAAATGATCGTGTTTTTTATCATCAAAGACAATCGCACAGTTCATAGGCGAAAAAATCTGCGTGTGTATGATTGTTCTTTCGGACAATGTGATCCATTGATATATTTGAGTGTACGTATCATCAAAACTGTAGTCCAATTGTCCCAAAACTGCGGAGCACAAAAACGTGAATGGCTTACACTGAAAAAAATATGCGTTGAAAAATTACTTTTTAAAGACAACACTTCTGAACAATCCAGTGTCTCCGATTTTACACATGTACAGTGAATTTATAATTCTAGTATCATATATGTAAAAAATTTAAATTTTATTTTTAAATTTAAAAAATATAAATTTTGATAATTTAAATTTAGACATACAAAGAAACAACAAGATGTGAAGTTAAAGAAAAGTGTTGTAATAAAATAAAAAATAAGTGTGAGACTAAACATGTGCTATGAATTTTTTTGTACAAGCTGGAGCTTCTGAAGAATATCACTCAGGTAACTTAAGGAGATTATGTCTAAATATCGATCTCTATCCAAAATCGTATTATATTAAAGCGATTTTTATTTAACTTATATTTCCTAAATTATAATCGTATTATATTATATCGATCTTTTTTTCACTTACATTTCTTTATTTAAAATAATACCTATTTGGTTACATCAATCATAACTTCATTTGCATTTCTTTATTTACAATCGTATTTTATTATGTCGTCTTTATTTCATTTCAATTTTTTAAATAAAATAGTATTATATTATATGTATCTTTATTTAACTCAGATTTCTTTATATAAAATTTTTTATTCATCTAATCGATCGTAAATCATATTTAATATTTTATATTAAATCGATGACAAAATAAACTGCGCCTTTCTCTTGCAAAGTAAATTGAGTTTTTTTTATAAACCCAATGACATTTAACAACTCCAACAAAGGTATTTTTTTCTATAAATCCAATAACATTTATTGCAGGGGTAAGGGGTTAAAAACCCCCATTTAGTGGGGGTTAATATAGACCCCAAGGGTTCGACCGCTCGGGGCCGCAGTGCAGAGGCCGCGACCCGAGGGTAAACAGCCCTCACAGACCAGGGTCTTGTGAGGGTTAAATGAGGGTCTTGTGAGGGTTAATTTGAGGGTCTTGTGAGGGTTAAATGAGGGTCTTGTGAGGGTTAAATGAGGGTCTTGTGAGGGTTAAATGAGGGTCTTGTGAGGGTTAACTTGAGGGTCTTGTGAGGGTTAACTTGAGGGTCTTGTGAGGGTTAACTTGAGGGTCTTGTGAGGGTTAAATGAGGGTATTGTGAGGGTTAAATGAGGGTCTTGTGAGGGTTAAATGAGGGTCTTGTGAGGGTTAACTTGAGGGTCTTGTGAGGGTTAAATGAGGGTTAAGTTGAAGGTTAAATCGAGGATTAAATTGAGGATTTAATTGAGGGTTTAATTGAGGATAACATTGAGGGTTTGATTGAGGGTTTAATTGAGGATAACATTGAGGGTTTAATTGAGGATAACATTGAGGGTTTAATTGAGGATAACATTGAGGGTTTAATTGAGGATAACATTGAGGGTTTAATTGATGGTAATGTGAGCATTTAATGAGGGCACAGAAGCACTCATTGTACATACAGTATCAAATTATTATCATTTGCGTCAACTCCCGTGTTACTGAGGACGACAAGCATTACAATATTCCTCTTTTGATGTTATTCCAATAATTCCAAAGAATTTAAAAACCAAATAAACGCTAAATGAATGCACAATATCTTAAATGAAAACATTTCGGAGACCAGCGCCATTATCAGTTTACATCAAAAATTTATATTGTACAATTTTATGTATATGGTACAACGTTATATTGTATAACTTTAACTTTATAATATGCAATTTCATATTTTAGAACTTTATATTGTACAAATTTATTTTGTAGAACATTAAAATGTGTGTTATTGCGTTATTGGCGGCTCGGAGGCTACGGACAAGAGTAGATCTTACTTCGTCGTCGTTTAACGTCGATAATAAACCTTGTCCATTCACAGTATATCGTTGTGGGTTTTAATATTTGCTATTGTATTTTATTATTGATAAACGCAGTATTACTAAGATTTTAATCGTGTTAGGTGCAAATGCCTGTGCTGAATCCTAACAACTAGTCTATGTTGTCTAGACTACCGACGAAATATTGTAATCAGAAGCGAAGTGTGGCCTTTAAATTACCTCATTCTAGTCTGCGCCAATCTTTGTTAGATTATTTAATAACCGGTCGGTATGCCTCAAGTAAGGATTCTTTTTCTATTGTCATTTTTAGGCTGACAAGAGAATTAAGGGAAAGAATTCGCCCAAGTTCGTTTTTTTGACTGCCTCGGTGACATAGCCTCTACGTGAAACGCCTTGGACAACCAAAATCAGTTGTGAAAATGAAAATATGGATGAAAAATATTAGAACTACAAACTTATCATTTTAAGAGGATAAGGACTGTAAACGTCATTGTGACATAGTTTCATTCTAAAAAAACCTTTAATCCGAAACACCGGAGGTAGAACCTAGTATATTTAAATCACCCCCGTCGTATTGTTCAGTGTGAAGAGGTACTGCAGAGCGAGCGAGTCTAGAAAGTAGCAGATTCGAACGAAATTTCTTGCCGCGGTGTTCAGAAACACGGAGGTAGAAGTTACGTGACGTCATTCGGACCTACGCTGATGCGCAACGCGCACAACTAAATTCGCAGACTAGGTTAGATCGCATCGGGGCAACCTTCAGGTTTAGTAACTTTACAATCGAGAGGCGGTGAATTATTGCTGACTTCCGTCTCCATTGTAAATTCAAACAATGGATGCTTAAGGTAGAGATAATCCAATAAAAGAGTCGCATGAGAGATGCTTGAAGATCCCCGGAAACGTTCTCGTTGAAAATTTTGTGAACTTACTGGACTTTTGTTTGTTTTTAAATTCTTGGTGAACATGTGAGTTGAGCAGTATAATGATATAAGTACTTATATACGACGTCCACAATTTACTGTGAATATGTTGAAGATGAAGAACTAAGTAAGTGATAGCTAATAAATAGATAAAAAATTATCCCCAAATTTTCGTTGCTTGTGTGACTTTACACGCGCCACAAGCAGTGGAAACCTGTGTAGCGGCGTGTCCACCGTCTCATTGTTTCTACTGCCTCGTCGCGTTCAGCTTCCACCCGTTTTTCTGGCAGACGTGAGACTCTTCAGTGCGGCGAAAGCAGACATGGCACGCCTTGTGGCACTCTTCGTGGCACTCCTAGCACAAGCCGCTATCCTTACCAAAGGCCTACGCGCCCTCAAGGCGTACAAAATACGCCTGAGTGCATCGGACCTCAGCGGCAGCGTGGTGGTCACCAGCTACATGGGCGCGGGGTCCAGCGTTGTGAAGTGCGCGGGTCTGGCCGCCGCAAGTGGTGCCGCCGCCACACCCGTCTTCTGCATCACTCTTCAGCAAACCTGCTTGGTCACCAACGCGTACTTCCCTCCCGGGTACATCAGCCCGGAACCTCAAGTGCACCAGTGCTACACCACTACAGCTCCGCTCTTCGACATGAGTAAATATTTCACTATAGCTCCCCTCTCGACAAGAGTATGTACTCACTGAAGAGCCCCTCTTCGATAAGTGTGTGTACTCTACTGTAGCAACCCTCTTCGACAAGGGTCTGTAGTCCAGTGAAGCGCTCCTCATCGACATGGGTAGGTTCTCCATTGCAGCGCCCCTCTTCAACAAGGGTATGTTCTCCACTGTATCAACACTCTTTGACATTGGTAATGGGTTTAACTACACTGTAGCGTCCCTCTCGATAAAGGTATGTACATCACCTTAGCGCCATTCATTGACGATGGTATGTACTCTTCTACAGCTACCCTCTTCGACAAGGGTATGAATTCCGCAGCGCCGCCCTCCTTCAACGATTGTATTTACTCCACTGCACAGCCTCTCTTCGACAAGGGTATTTACTCCACTGCACCGCCTCTCTTCGACAAGGGTATTTCCTGTACTGTACCGCCCATTATCGACAAGGTTATGTACTCATCTGCACCGCCTCTCTCCGGAAAGGGTATTTACTCCACTGTACCGCCCCTCTTCGACAAGTTTATGCACTCCACTGCACCTCCTCTTTCCGGAAAGGGTAATTATTCTATTGTACCGCCCATTTTCGACAAGGTTATGTACTCCCATGTACCGCCTCTCTTCGGAATGGGTATGTACTCAACTGCACCTCCCCGTTTCGACAAGGTTATTTACTTCACTAAATACCCCCGCTTTGGCAAGGGTACGTAAAGACGACAGTTTATAGCAATTCAATGCAAAACTGATATCGTCGGAGGAAGTTTGACAGTATTTCGTGTAATGATGGTAACCCTAGTTCCTAGTTTTTTGGATACGTAAAATATCTGTGTTGAGTATTATAATCGCCGGATAAGGATTGCAAAACTTGAGTTCATAACGAAATCAAGATATCAACGATCGTCGTTTTTCGGTGGTCTATAAAACTGGAATTGAGGCTGCCACACCTACGGCAGACCTAATTTAGCCTAACCTAGCCTGATCGCGAACACGCCGAAGAACATGGCTCTGCACTCGGAACTTAATGACGAGTCTGGGACCACCATGTCTTCACGTTTGTAGATTCGTCCGCTCTGTTGAATGTTGCTGTCTCCTGAAAAGCCTTCTTACTAATTAATCACGATTGCACAATGGCTAATTGGCATCTTTCGGAAGTATCTGTCCGGCTACTGCCGGACACCAAAATCATCACCGTTAACTAATTACGTCAACACAGCGACTGCCTTGGCGACATGCCCTGCCCAGTACGGCTGCTGTCTTGAACCTTTCGAGTCGGTGAGCAACGTTGGGTGCATCTACGCCAACGCCAGCTTCTTGCCACCGAAGCCATATGCCACAGCCAGGGCCATGTGCCAGAGTCTCTGGCCCACGGCAGACTTGCTTGTCCCCTACGCGTGGGGGAATTTGGACGACTATTTGAAAGCTCGAGGTGAGTGAGGCCTGAACTAGTCCTTCTTCTTAGACTAATTTGGACGACTGCTTGAGTAGTCGTGACAAGTCAGGCTTTAAGTACCCATTAATCCTTTACTAATTTGGACGAATAAGTACAGTTCCTTTCTATTTCATGTGTCACAACTAAGTTATGGTAAAATTTATTTAGTACCATATCTCAAGTTGACTCTCTTATTCGTAACGTCTCAATTATTCTTACCGTCCCAATACGTTAACCTAACTTTTCTTTCGTCAATACAACGGAGTTAAGTTACCTTCTCTTTCGTACCGTATTACATCGTTAACTCTCACACACCGAATGACTAATTTAACCCTCTACCGCCGTATGTCACTCTCCGGGAACATAACTTTCAACCTAAATCTTACTTATGTAAACTATTGAGTGTATCAACCTCAGGACGTTTGTACGCAACAGAGAAAATTTTACAGTTGTACGAGGCGGCAACCATCAGTGCAAGTCATTTTGCGCTCACTAGAACGTATCCTTTTTGGGAAGTGCTTGTGACAATATTGCTCCAGATACTCATGTTAGGCGGTTGAGGGTTAAGGTGATTTCCCTTTCTTTCCACTCTCACAACGTCATGTCACGAAGGAGTGGAAGGGCCCTGGCTGGGCGCCAAAAAGAACACCGCAACATCGCAGTGGCAGTGGGTCGACGGTACCACTGTGTCTGCCTCCAGCTGGGGATATTGTATTAATTGGTTCGTCCTTGTCGTGAAATTTCTGTTGTAGCGCTCACATGTACATTTTATTCCGTACAACATGTAGTTTATTCTAGTTACTTACTTCGCTCTAGAACTAATGACTATTAATTAGAATTGGCTCTTATACGTTCAAGAACTAGAACTACTGTTCTCCTTGTTTTCTGTAATTGGTTTCTGTATGCGTAGGACATTCACAAATAAATATATTCCCTTCACGTTGACGTGTTATTCTTTATCGATAAGATAAGAAGCGTTAATATAAAGAGAAACAGAATATTTCAAGATTACAATATTGTTCAAATTGGGAAGATACATGAGAAAGCAACAAATTTTTCATCTATAATATTTGTAGAAGCGATTGCATTCAAACATACAATATTTGAAAAATTGATCAATTTATAACTATGATGTCTGTATTACGAATATATATAGATACAAATGTAAAGATTGGTTACCTTCTTGAAGTTTATCCTTGTTGAGGTAGGATGCAGGAAAAAAATTGGTGGGTAATTCATATATTCCTTTATGCGTTTGAAAGTTTCATGCATAACGCCGTAGTACGTGTCATTTCGCCGTAGTACGTGTATCCTTGCTACATTGAGTGCCTATTGCGATGCTCGCGGGACTGTCGCGTTCTCCTGAACATTCACACTTATTGTCACGGAAAACATATTTGCTCCTAGAGTTTTAAAGCTACAGCAATGAGACATACACCATTCGATTCGTAAAGATCATACCTATCGAGGAACGAAGCTTTTTTTAGATTTGTGCATGGTTTGGATTCAAAATGGGGGGAGTGGAAAAATCTGAAGAAAATGAGAAGAAAACGGGAAAATGCGTGTAGAAAAACTAAGGCAAAAATAAAAAATCGTGCTTCGTTACTTGATTGGTATGGTCTTTACGAATCGAATGTTATATATTTCAATGATGTAGCTTGAAACTGTAGGAGGAGATAGATTTTTAAAGTACCCACTTTTTTGCCGTTTTCTATGAATTTTCCGTTTTCTATTGATTTCTCCGTAAAAATTATACGAACAAAATCTTCTTGTTTTTCGGTTTTACATATATGTGTGAAGTTTCAGAAAGATCCGTTAGTAAATGTGGAAGTTTTTCTGGAGGGTAGACGCCCCCCCCCTTTATTAAGTTATATCTCATAGAAAAATAATATATGAGTCACACAGTTTTAGGCACTGTGTGTTAAAATAAATACCTTGCTTTTTTTAACCTACAAAACTTCTTGGAGGTCCGGCGATTGGGCATTTTTGGTCGCCGAGAACCGTCGATTTATCATAAAGCTTTCCACGGGTATCTGCAGTATTTCATTGATAACGTTACAACTTCTATGATAAATATTTTGTTCTATCGGAAATTATCGAAGTTAGTTTATCGACAACTGTAATATTTTATTAAAAAGTTTGCAGGTTAATCGAAATCTACTTTATTAATTGGTAGAAATATATGCAAATTTATTTATAACCAAACTATTCATGGATTAACATACCATTTTAGCGATAGCAAAATGTCGATAGCAGAGCCCTTTAATAAAAAAAATTAATTCTATGGTGTTAAGGGGAGCGTCTGGGTCCAAAATCAACAATTTTGGCTTTTCCGAGTTTATGTCTCATCTTAAAGCTGACATTCTGACCTATCCAACGGTACCAGAACCATCTCTGTACGTTGATTTATGCGTTCATGACAGATCGCGAAAAAGCAAAGGTTGGTGGAGTTCTTTAACATTTAACATAGGGAGTAAATGCCGAAGTGCATCTTAAAAAGCTAGTATTCACACTCTCCGCTCCAGTTACCCTTCAACAGTCGTGTGGGATGGTTCTTGCTCTGTCGTTTCCACCATCCTTGACAGAGATTTAGCTCCAGTATCGTCTTGTCTTGCATCCTTGCAACCTTGAATGCCGATTTCGAGGCGCCCGGGACTTAGCCGGGCTCTACTGGACAATCACACTTATTGTCACTGGAAAACTATCTCCTCCTACAGTTTTGAAGCTACAGCAATGAGACATATACCATTCGATTCGCAAATAAAAGATTTAGAGATTGGTCGTAGCTTTTTTCAATTTAGTTATAGTTTTTACAATATTTTGAAAAAGAGGGGAGAGGAAAGGGGGAAATCGAAAAATTTTCGGAAATTTTACGAAAAATGCCCCCACGCCCGGAAAAATTCGAATTTCAAAAAAAGCTACGACGAATCGATAGATATGGACCTTACTCATCGAATGATATGCATCTCGATGTTTTAGCTTGAAAATCCTAGGAGGAGATAGTTTTATACAGTACCCCCTTTTTGGCCGTTTTCTAAGGATTTCATGTTTTCTTTCATTTTTTTCGAAAAATTTAAAGTGATCCGTCCGCAAATAAAAAAGTTTTTCTAGGACCCAGACGCTCCCCTTAAAAGATTGTTTAAATTTATTAAATCACGGATTAGAATCACCAGAGAAATGGACTGCATATCGGAATGAGGGCAATTTAAAAAAATATATATTTATCAAATAATACAGTAGATATATTAAGTCGTTGATGAAGATTCTATGCAAGTTCCCCTTAGCGGTGCATTTATACCCGAACAAAATTTTATGTCTTCATCCTTGGCT